TGCAACCATTATGTTTTATACGAACCTCGCAAACTTTTAAACACGTTCTCTTGTGATACCTGCGAAAGTATTCAGTATAATTTCCGGTAAGATTTCGCGGACAATCTGATCGATTTCTCTTACATTGTGTGCTGAGACTGAAACTTTTCACCTCGGGCAAAGCTTCGTCGCACGGCCCAAACAAACATAGCGAGCAACAGAGCTTGTTGTATATGTGCGTGTTAAAACACACGAAAGGACTCCAAAGGACACTTCACTCTGATTGGGCAGAAAAACACAAAGATTTTCTGGCACCAATCAGATGCCAGAACGACTGCGACCGTTTGGAACTAGTCTTGTAAGACAATGTCCCCAGGGGCTCTTCTGCCCTTAACTTGAAATCGACTCACAGCCCCTGGGTCTCCGAGGATGGTTGTTGAGTTGCCAAAACTTAGTTTTAAAGTGAAATGTTTCAAGTCCTTCAGAGGTTCTCTTTCTTGAACCTCTAAGAGTATATCCGTCGACACCCGTGATCTAGATGCAGCCGGGATAATTTCTAAACATTTTTTTTTTACAGGAAACCACAGAAACTGCGCCCTCGGAAGATCAGGCTGATTATGTAGAGACATTTTCATTCTCTGATTCCGAAACTGTGGCCAGCAGTCACGACGGTAGAGCAGGCGCTGAAGATTCGGCGAGCGACGAAGAAAATAGGGAGAAAAGTATTTCCTCAAATCCAAAAGGTTTTTTTCCCACACATTCTCCCGTTATTTTGTCGATGGTTTGACTTACGAACCAAACTGCTGACTGAGACTCTACGCGATGTTTAACTTCATCAATAACTGCCATAAATAACTAATTCAAGACAGCTAATTCAATAACTATGACTTAGTCAGACTCTCTTAATATGTAGATGTCTACAACTACCTGCGCCATAAAAGATGAACCAATCATGAATAACCTGACGTTACCGACGGAAGGTAACGCCAGTCACGACTGACCTACGTTTATTGAATCTCACATCTAATAACAACACGGCAAAATGAACTAAACAGTCTACACGAAACAGACCCATTACATTACTCAAACTGTTTCGTAAATTTGGATCAGTGCTTTTCAAAATTGTTTTCAATCAGTTGTATGTATCAATTTTCATTTCTAGCAAAAGTAAATCATTTGAAAGTGGTCGAGCATGTAGGCTGGAAACTTTAGAATGACGAGTTGCGTGACGTTAGCATGCAATCGTGCAGGAAAAAAAAACGCAACAGACACTACATGTCCTTAGTCACACAAATTATTTCAACGAATATGAGAGCGATATTCGCAGTAATAAACATAACTTAAGCAGTAACGAAAATAAGGCCTGAAAAAAATTCATGCCTATACGGGAGTTAATCCTACGATTTCTGCGATACCGGTGCAGTGCTCTTCCAACTGAGCTAACAAGCCAACTGGGAGCTGGTCATTATGTTGGTTCGTAATAAACCCGCGAAGTAATGAATCAGTGACTGTGAATATATACGAATCATATTTGTGGAATGCAGTTTAAGGAATGAATTAGAACGATCTTCGCAGTAATGAACACTACTTAAGCAGTGGTGGAAATAAGATCGCTCACGTGGTTCTTTCTTAAACCGCAGTTAGAATATATGATTTTTATTTGTTCACAGTCAAACTATTTCCAGGTTTCCACCAACCAGATTAATTTTTGCTTTCTTAGTTTCCCAGAGAGGTTCAAAGTCCTTAAATCAAGACGGAGTACACAGCTACGGCTTTTCCATCCCATTAAGTGAGCTGGCGAAGATTTCAGAGGAAAGCCAGGTAAGGGCCTCTTTTTGATACCGGGTGTTTGTTAAGTCAGTGTTATCGCTGATTTGATTGAATGCAAGTTATTGAGCGTTGCAACAGAATGTTAGAGAGTCACTCTTTGTGGCTTTGTTTGCGTTCTCTTTTAACCCCGTGAGACTTCTTTGAATCACATTGATACTGAATTTCTTCATTGCAGTCTCTCGTAACTCAACTTCATCACGTAGAACGCCAAATCCAAGCGTGTGAGAATTCCCTAAGAGAGGAAAAGGAGAAACGAAGGAAGTACTATGTAAGAGTTGCGTGCTATGTGCTGATCGCGTATGATGTTTTGCTCCGCCATATTACACTTAAAATACTTTAAAACAGTTTTGTACCACGACTCCCAATCTTCTTCGCAGTCGTTGTTTGGGAAAAACTGTGTTGCATAACAGTCCAAACAACGGCTGCAAATTTTGATACCAAATGAATGCAATTTTTGTTTGCTGCTTACTTCATGCAACTTTATTTTTGACTGAGTTTCATCCACTTTATATTTGACCTATTTCTGGAATTTTTTTATTTTTTGTTGGTTTGAGGACACTTTGTGATCCCTTTTGTTCAGAAAATGAAACTTATTATAGATCAGCCCTAGACATAGATGTATCTTTGCTGCCCTGCGAGGTTGAAACCTCTCGCCCTTTTCTATCCTTAATGAAGAGGGCGGCGGGGGCGTAAACCAATAAGCCAAGCTTCGGGATGATTGGGATTTCTTAGTTGGGGGGGTACTTCCCGGTGATAGGTTGATGGGTGTGTGCCGCTTGATGGGGTCGCATTTTCATTTGACTATATTGAGGTTGCATTTTCAGTAGATTCGTTTGAATAGGGTCGCACTTTTCTCGGGATTTGGAGGTAAGAAAATTCTGGAATGAGTAGAGATTTAAAAATGGGAGGAATTTAGTTTAACGTTCTTCATACAAGCATTAGAATTTTCTCGTACGATTTAATGATAACCTAGTTGAAAGGCATTATGAGGTAGATGCATAAACAGAAGGCGCCGAAGTTGGAATCGCAAATTTACATTTGCTCAAAGTGGCCAAGATGGGGTCTATAATTGGTCACAGAATGGACTATAATGGAGTAGGGGTTCTGAAAGGTCAGCGGCATATACTCATCAAAAATTGACCAAATTCCTCCCCCCTCCTCTCCCTCTCGTCTGAGTCTTTTTTGTCGTGGAAATAATCTTGAAACATGTGGTGGGTGTTGTTTGTGTCAGGTGGACCACAGCCGACGTACACACGACTATGATCCCTTTATTCGGACCTTTGTAACCATGTTGGCCGAGCAAGGACATGTAGCACAGCTTGTGGAAGAACAGACTTCACTAAAGCGACGGCTAGCTCAAACAAGACCTCCCTTAAAACAGCTTAAAAGAGTTTACAAAAGGAGAAAGCCTAGGTGAACTCAAGCGTGGCAGCGGTGAAGGAGGAGAGGATCCACACGATGCAGGAAATTCCTGTGAATAGCAACAAGAGGGAGGTTAATATCAGAGCAAGATGGGTTCAATGTATTTGAGCGGAATTTTAGTTGTTCAAGTGCTTTTCAATTGAATGTTCTTCAAGTTGTCTTTGCGGGCAAGTAAAACAAAGAAAAATGCGAGAAGTAGCCATTGATTTATCGAAGTTAACTCACTCAACTGGTCTCAAGCGAAAGAAACGACACGGGCAGTAAATTTGTGATCGATTTTAGTTTTGCATCTGATTGGTTACAAAAGTGGCCGGAGTTTTTCCAAGCCAATCAACTAGATCGAAAAAAAAAAAGTAGGTCAATGTAATCTCTGAGTATATTCAATATTCAGTTGAAAACGGCCCCTAAAAAAGGTGTAACCCGGTAAATTTTGCCTTGCTAGCCACGTTACGCAAACTTCTCTTCGAAAATAAAGAAGTTATTGTTGGAATTTTTTATAAAAGCATTTTGAACGAGAAGGACATTTTTCGGTGGACAGTATATAAGGAAATCTTTTTCAATAAATACTGTAAATATCATTCATAAAATAAAACGTCATGTTGTGTTATTTATCGCGACTATTGCTTTCATAGGAATTCAGAAAGTATTCCACTCAGGTACTTCCTCTACAGCTATTCGTTAAGTTGGTTAATGCATGTATGAATGGAAATTTTTAAGTGAACGAGTAATTCTTTTAAAGTAAAGAAGAAATAAGAAGACCTCAACTAACGCAACACGCTGAGTCACAAATGAGCTTGANAACTTGAGAATTTAGATTTTGGTCGCCGTAAACGCTACATTATTATTGGTCCAACTTAAATGGATCCGATAACGCAGGAGCAAATGCAACAATTGAGAAGTAATATTTACCTCAAGTATTATGGAACCACCTAAACTATTCATCCTAGTAAATAAAGTAAGGGTTATGAGAAAAGCCGTACTGTTAACAGCAAGAGGAGTCTTTCCCTTATCTCCTAAAATTTGAAGATTGCTTATGAATTTATCATTAATTGTTTTTAGATACTTAAATGATGCTTCCTTATCTTCATGCAGTCAAAGGATGGGAGAATCACAGAGTGACAAAGAGGGCGTTAGTGGAGCATGTAGTGGTTACATAACTCTTTAAAGGAAAACTACGGTCTAGAAAAAGTGTATTTATATCAAAAGTTCCTTGGTTGCATTGTCCTAACCGGCTATTCACTTGAGCTAAAAGCGTTTTAATTGCGAACAATTACGTTCCAAGAATCGGTATTTTCAAATTGAAATCCGCCATCTTTGTTATATGACGAAACTATGACGTAGCAATAGTCAAGCATGCTAAATTGTATTCCCTGCTGAAGTAGATGTAAACAAGGAAAATAGCGGCGAGAAAAGCCCACTTATTAAATTCTTGACTTGGATTTTAATCTTGCCGAGAGGGTGTCATACATCCATTTATGTTTCAAACGAAACATGGGTCGTCTTAAGTGGAAGACGATACCTCTGTTGAGGAGAAAGGGAGAGAAAGTCAGAAAAATGAGTTTCAAGAAGAAATATTGACCCGCTTAGTTGCTCACGTCTTGGAAATCGCGAGTGGTTCTCTTGCGGCAACTGTCAAAAGAAACTAAGGAAAACGAGAATGTATGTCTTTAATCTTTAATCGAGATACCTAAACTATACTAGGAGGACTAATTACAAAGAATAAAATTTAAATAATGTATTTATATACAGTTTAACAATAAGGTTTAACAATATAAGAAAAACAAAACTTGGATAAAACAAAATAATATAAATAGCGTAAAGATAAAATTAGTACGGGCTAAACCAACCTAATAAATGAAAGAGCATTATTTTTTTGATCTAAATATATCTAAATTAACAATGTTAGAAGAGCTTAGAGATATATTGTTCCCCAAAACTACTGTCCTTGGATAAAAAGAATATTTATAGATGTCATTATTCACTTTCAATTGTTTGAAAGGACGACAGTTTGGAGCTCTTGATGGTCTTTCATTCGGTGTGACATCAGATGGGAGTGAATAAGGAAAACTTACATACCTGTATATCTCGCTGGAAGTCTTAGTTTTGTAGGGTTTGGCAAGCCGTCCTCGCGGGCTATTTTTGCCGGCCAACTTTTCTTTAATATTTCACTTTCCGGTAGCTTGTGGAGGCTTACACATTTTTTTTTAATTTTGGTATGTATTTTGGCATTCAACCACACCACAGTTCACCTCATTTCAATTATTAGGATTATTAGAAACTGTTTTCACAAAGGTCAAACTGGTCAACTAGGACAAAGCGTTGAACAAAGTTTGACTATTGCTACGTCACAACTGACATAATAACCAAGATGGCGATTTTCTAACCACGAAAGTTGTAAAAATGGGCAACTTCAAAGTGCTCTTGTCGCTAATACAAAGCAAACTGGAAAAAATGGCAGTTATTTTCGAACTCCTGAGGAAAAAGTCTTTTAATTAAGATAAAATTTTTCTAGACCATACCTTCCCTTTAACTCCCAAGACCTGGTAGTAAATTCTCTCCTCTAGCTGTACCTAACACATTTTCTTGTAAATAAGTTATGAGAGTTTGGTGTAATTAGTTCTTATTAACCGAGCAGAAGGTCTGTATGGGAGAATCTTGACCGAGGTCACCAGTACAGACTGAACGCAGTGAGGTCTGTACCAGTGACCAAGGTCAAGATTCTCCCATACAGACCGACCTAGCTCGGTTAATAAGATGTGTATTATATGGCTGTCTCATATGCCAATTCATTATATTCTTTGTACCTTTTTTTTCCTAGATCGGTCTAGATGCCAATCTAAACGGAAAAATCTAGACCGCTTTTAATATTGATCTCAGCCAATCAAATTCGTGAATTCGGTAGTTCCCAGTCCTTGTGAGACACAGCCATATATTAAGATCAAGATATTACCTCCTTCCTGATAAGTTTAATTCATGGGTAAATAGATGATAACGTTAAAATTGATGGAATGATTAATTAATTGATTGTGTACAATACTTTAAATAAAACTCAAGAAACTAAGTGATTCAGGTGGGCACTCTGGGCTGGGTTGTTCAAAACACAGTTTACTTAACACAGGGTTAGTGTAAATTTTTAAATTAGTTTTATAGCTCTGCTAAATAAGGAATTTTTCTTTTGTAATTTTTTCCCATTAGTTGCAAGTCATATAGAGAGAAGACCCAACAAAGCATTAGCTCTTCTATGTGCTCTTCAATACGAGAAATTGAAGCCAAAATAAACTTCTAATTCTAGATTAACCCCCTTTCAAACAACCCGGCCCTGGATTAAAAAGGAAAATACGTTTCATGAACAGTCTGGGGACGCTCAGCGTCTCTTATATGAACTTTTTACCTGTGAATTAGCTTAGGGGTAGTGCATGGGAGGAATGGGGCAAGTTAATTTTAAGATGGCGGAAGAGAGCGCAAGATTTTCGCAAATTGTTTTAGAAATTTGTAACCTTACTGAAACATAAAAGATTATGCC